GTTCCAGGAGGTGGAGAAATAACACTTGGCGGTGTGTCGGTAGATGCAGTAACTGCTACCATTGGATATTTTTTCTTCAGCCAGCGTTCGTAGTACGGACGATATCCGAGGTTCTTCGGATCGACCCAAACCATTCCACAACGGCTAATGGTAGCAGGTGAAGCGTATTGTAGATCGAAAGTCTCACAGATCATACAACAGTGAGTTTGAAGTCGGATACGCTCACCATTGGGTAGAGTAAGCAGCTTGTTGTCGTCCATGACGCTGTTCATATTCTCCACCCAGACAGCGTCGACGTCTCCGTCGTAGATAAGCCAGCGTTTTTCGTTCTCTTTTCCAGCAGGAAGAGGCTGGTTGAGTTCACGGAAGAGCTTAGAGAGTACACCGTCTGTCCAGTCACGCGTGACTGGGTCCATCGTGCCGTACAGCTCTGCAATAGGCTGAGCTTTAGGATTAAGCACGAAGATCTTGACTTGTTCGTCTAGCGCAGTCTTGGATGCAGCTGCGAGTGTATTCAGTACCAACGTTTTACCACCTCCCGTAGGTCCAACGATCATAGTCGTGTGACGCACCAGCATGGTCTCGTACATCTGAATGATCTTATCGATCTGTTCGTTGTACACAGTGACGTTGGTTGTGTTGTATTCGCCAGCGATAAGCTCTGCTTCAATAGCGTCCTTCAACGCTGCGTAACCCACACGAGGGCAGTCTAAACCAGGGAAGAGATCGTTGATAAGTCCGTGGAATAGAGGTACGTCTTCGAATACAAACTTGGGCATGTTGCTATCACGTAGCGCACGCATGAGTACCAGGTCTTCGTTCATATCGCTATACTCTCGTTTTAACGATCCAGCCATCACCAACACACTCTTCAGCGCTCGTAACCCGAAATCGTAATGATACTGCTTGGAAAGTTGCTCTCGTGAGAGTTTATAAAGCACCGTCATCTTCTTTGCAAGTGATACAGCGTGCTCAAAGCCTTCAGAGAAGAGCATGATCTGGCAAATCTGCAACAAGTCGGGGACGATCATAGTAACAGGACGGAAGAGAGCCTTGAGGTTGTCTGGAAGTTCGGTACGTCCAGCATAGCCAGGATTCATGGTGATGAAGAAGCCACACGTAGCGAACCCTGCCGTGCGATGGATAGCAATCTCGGTACCAAAACCGATATCAACGGTGGGTTTGTCGTAATTGAGAGCGTTCTGGATCGCTCGGAGCTGAGCAGAGACAACAGAAAGCACCTCGATATTAATACGGTTGAACTCATCGAAGCAGCCCCAAGCTCCCACTTGAACTAGCCCGGAGAAGATGCTACCCATCGCTTTATAGTCCAGACCTTCGCCACAGTTGATAACATAACACGGTAACGCTAACGACTTGGCCAGATCCTTCACCGTCTCGGTCTTTCCAGTACCCGCTGGACCAGCAGGAGATCCTCCAAGCTTAAACGTTAGAGCTTGCGTTAGAGTCATGTAACAACGATCTGTAAGCGGAGTGATCACAAGTCGCCCATTAAGTCCCATGTACTCGTAGCCGTAGCGGAAGTTGCCCGTGCATTGACTGATAACCACGTCGTCCACATCTTTTCGCCAGTAAAATCGCAGTTGAGACTCCCACGCGAACTCCTTCTCGTTGAGAATACTATCGCGTACGAACGAGTCGACGATATCTCGAGCATGTACGTCGATGATCAGCAACGTATTGACTTTCTTGCGTGTGAGTTTGTCTAGTGGTTCACGCACACGTCTTACAAGACTATTGAGTTGCTCTGTTAGTCGCCCTTCCAGTCCTTTCATGGCGTATTTGTCACCACTTTTAACACGATGAAACACGTCTTCAACCTCCCAAGTCCACCAAATTTGGCTGCCCACCAGCGACACCATACCCAGAACCTCTTCAAGCCACTTGGTACGATCCATGTGAGCGTATTGGAACACTCCTTCCTTCGCGATACGCTGCAATGTGACGCGCATCTCGTCTTCCACTCCAGTCATCCACGACTCCACGGGGCCTTCAACGGCCAACAGTGTGCGGAATTGAAATCCTTCTCCTTCAGCACTCTCCATCGCACCGACATTCTTGTTGTTGCGTACAAAGCCCAGTAATTTAACGTTATCAAAGAGTTTCAGCATGTGAACTTGAATCGAAGTCGGGTCTGAAGAGCCTAGAACACTGAGTAACTCGTCATCTGAGATGAAGAAGAACCGTGGAAAAGAATTGCGCTTCGTGTCGAGATAATCACTCAGAGACTTTTGACACTTGTCTAGTCGTTCAGAAAGAGAATGTAGTGTCTCCACCCGGTTCTCAGCAGTGCAGGCTTCCACTGCGTTGGCGTTCTTGTATGTAGCGCCCATGATGGTCTTCCACGCTTTATCAATAGCATCGAATTTCTTCGCTTCTTCTGGTAACTGCTGTCGAATATCCTCTGCGCCAACGAAGATGCTCTCGAGATACATCCACTTGCGCTGTACAACGAACCAGATATCCAAACACTCATTCACGACTCCGAGACGCTTTTCCCACTTGCGAACACGCTCGGCAAAGCTCGCGATGAAGCGTGAACCAGACATTGTCTGGAGGTTGAGCATGTGGTCTTCTAGCGTGATTTTGAGCTCGTCAGCGGCTCGGAGCACCCAGCCGCGATCAGTGCCGTTCTTTTTGTACTTGACGAGCTCTAATACTGCTTTAGACCACGAGTCTTCGATCTTGATAATCTCCTGCTCGATCTTTTGCTCTTGCATCGCTGCATTCACGATCTCACCGATTTCATTCGAGAAGCGATGCAACTTCATGGCAAAGAGGTTTCCAAGGGTAAAAGTCTTCAAGTTCATATCGAAACGCACCTGTGTGACTGCCATAAGTTCCTCCCAGTGTCGAGGCTTCACAGCTTCGTTTTTAAGACTCTGGATCA